CCCTGGCTTCATCCAGAAGGTCGTCTGGAAGGATGTCCGGAAGAACGTCCGGAAGGTCATTCAGCTGTCCTGTCTAATTAGCATATTACGCTTTTATTATTATAGATAAAAGCCCAGCGACCAGAACAGTGGGATGACCAGAATGACCAGTGGCTATGATGCGCACTGCAGCAGCCAACCAGCCTGATCTGGGCCCTGATCAGCACCCCCCAACCCCCACCCAGCCTGGCCCCTGATCGGCCCCCAACACCCCAATTGGGGGTGGGGCCAGATGGCCAACCACCCCCCCTACTGGCCCGGCCCAATGGGCCCCCATCGGGATGGGATGGCCAGACCCCACCCGTGCACAAATTCGTATAATAATAATGAAAAAGTTTGAAATATTCCAAGAATTGTCAAAATGTGACACAAAGACACAAAGTGAACAAATGTTGTTAGAAAATGGTGCCAGTAGACTTGCCTGATGCAGGGTTGCCACAAGCCTTCAATTTGTAAAAATCTCAATAAATGCAAAGCACAACAAAGTGAACCACAATAAAATGAAGTGCACCTGTGTTCTTTTGTAACTGGCTTCTTTCACTTAGCACAATGTTTTCAAGGTTCATCCCTGTGTAGCATGTATCAGTACTTCATTCCTTTTTATGGCCCCATAATATTTCATCATTTGTGTATGTATCCATTTGTTACTTGATGGACATTTAGGTTTATTTTCATTTTTGGCTAGTTTGCATAATGCTGCAATGAACATTTACGCATAAGTTTTTTGTATGGATATGTTTTCAGTTCTCTTGGATATATATTGATTTAACATTTTGAGGAGTTGCCAGGCTCTTTTCCAAAGCAGCTATATCATTTTTCATTCCCACCAGCAATATACGAATGCCTTCACATTCTGTCCTTTCCTTTTTCTTCCTGCCAAAAACAACCCTGATGCCTGAAAGCAGAGTAGCCAGTTTAAATCTAGAAGGTATAAACATGAAAATTCTAAGGATGGAAGAGCAGAAAGGAAGTCTGGATTTGTACCTACCTCCAGACTTTCTGTTATTTGAGAGGAAAAAAACTCTATATGATTAAGCTAGTCTAAGTGAGGACTTCTATTAGTTACAAAGGAAGCAAACCTCTGATGCCTCCCAACAACTTCACTATATTCAGAGGAAGAAATTTCTCCTTTATCTTTATATATTAATTTATAATAAAACCATGTTTTAAGAAGTTAGAGCTGTATGCGATATGTACATTGTCTTGAAATTTTAAGATAAACTAATATATTTTCACTTGATCTAATAAACTTTTTTATGAATTATTCTTTATTAGTCAGTTAATGCCATAAATCATAATAATATTTTAACTAAAAAACAAGCAAACTAGTAAACAAAGACTACTTTAAACACTTTACAAATTAAGTACTTTAATTCTCTAAATAACTCTATGAGATCAGTAATACTACTATTCCCATTTAATAAAGAAGCTGAAGCACAGAGAATTTAAATAACTTGCCATATCACATAGCTGGTATCAGAACCAGTATTCAAAGTCAGGAAGAATCCCTGGTTAACCCTACACTATGTTGACTCCATTGTAGGGTACTTTAGCAACTTCAGAATAGAAAATTAATAATTAGTAGTCTAAAAATGTGTACAGGTACATGTGTGTGTCTATCACTAATGTTATACCCTACTTTCATGGTGAGGAGGGTGGAAGAAACAATTTTTTTAATACCCATTCTATGCCAGGTACTGTACAAAATTTTAACAAATATTATCTCATTAAATCCCCATAACAACCAGGAAGATGACACTATCTCCATTTATAGGTAAAGAATGTGATTGCAGTAAAGTTAAGTAACTTTCTCAATTTCGCATCACTAGTAACTAGCAGAGCTGGTTATAAAATCAAATCTGTCTTGTTCAAAGCCAATGCTCTTTCTACCATACAATAATGCTTATCTATTTAGATAATTCATATTCCTAAATTATAAACTCATCATGACTATATATATATATATTACAGCTTTACCTTTATTACCCTCATTATCTTTATTACCCTCATTATCTGTTGATAAACTCTCATATACTTTAACTGTCAGAAAATATTTTCCCATCCTTTCTGCTTGAAATTTCTATGACTAGGGAACACTTAAAAATGAAAACATCACTATTGGGGAACACAAGAGACTTGGTTGGAAAGTCTGTAAGGAGGACATTCTGATAGAAGGGAAGTGTGTGGAAGGCCACCTGCCCTGTTTATCAGAATTCCGACTTCGGGGAGACTTAGGGAAGTGTCGAAGATGGTGCCCCTAATTGTTCCTTGACCTTTCCAAACAAGTCTATGCATGAGCAGACCCCTGGGTGTTTACTGGAATCCTTATGCTTAATGCCTGGATGCCCTTGCCTAGAGGACAATGTAAATACATCTGTCCTCCCAAGATTACTCACCCTACTAATTGTATCTAAAAGATAAACTTTATCTCAAACTGCTGTTACAATAAAAGGTTAACAAGGCAGGCAATCGAGGCTGCCTGGTGACTTTGGCCAGGCTGTCCCTTAGCCCTCTCTTTCACAGTTGTGTCAGAGTAATCCATTCATCCGTTGCTCAGGGTCTGTTGGCCAGCCCCAGTACATCACCTAAAAAGTTAATATATTAACCCCTCTTCATGTTTTGAAAGAATTATCCCAGATAGTTGAGTCATCTCTGCAGAAGGTCCACACTGACCATTTTGTACTAGTCCAATAATACATAATTATCTACCTATCCAGATCATATATCTTCCAATACTCTACAAGACTTTGGTACATCAATTATTCTACATAGTGTTCATCAATTATTTTAAATAGTGTTCATCAGCCAACAACATTTAAAGCTTTCCCTAAAAATAAGTTTCCCTGAACTTGCTATTTCCCTCAAGCTATTTGAGGCACAACCGGGTTCTACCATCAAAGGCAGCTCTGTTCCTGGAGAATGGCAGACATTTAAAGACACCACTCTTGGTCTATCTCCTACTTGAGAGGTCTTACCTGCATATTTTTATCAGGGTCTCAAGAACCACTGTGTCAATATTTTAACAGGGTCCACTGCCTACTCTTATAAAACCTCTACAGTCTGATCCCATGCCAATGATCGAAATTTCCTCCAACAATTCCCCAATATGGTTATTAGAAAATACACTTTAGTAATCGCCATCAATAAGCCAGGTCTGCTAGGCATGGATTTCCATTCTCACCTCTTTAATGTCCCTTCTTCCTATTCTGTGCTTCCTCCCATTTCTGCATCTCTACTTGAGTTATGCCCTTCTTCTGAAGGCTATCTCTCCTTTCTAACTTACTCTCACTTTAGGCCCAATTTAATTACTAGTTCCGCCCTGAAGCCTTCCCAGTACTCATATGCCCACATTGCACTGTACTGTCCATGGATGTTTACATTTAAAGCCTGTACTGCTCCATCCAATCCTTCATTACATTTTGCCTAACATTGTTCATGAATTGTTATCTTGTACTATAACCACTGCGCATATTTGCTAGAGGGCCAAATCAAGCCACATATTTTTCTTTTATCTCCTAGAGTAATAAGGGGAAAATGTATTAAATAAAGTAATAATATAAAGACAAGATTAGAACTTTAAAAAAAACCAACCTACTTTTAAGTGTCCACATACCTACAGAGAATAAGACTAACACAAATAATCTGTTTATGAAAATAAATCCAAAATTTTTTATTAACTTCTTTCAAGACTACTAGTTTTGTTTTGAAGTTATAATACCAACATTCTTAAAATATATTTATTTAGACTTTTAAGATTCCAAATCCAATACGTTGAGGCAATACATTAAAAAAGCATATTGCTTACAAGCATCAATCACCACAATCTAAAAATAATCTCTGAATCATAAATTTCCTTCTACAAGAGCCTATGTTTAGGTTTAGATATTTGAAATCACAATAAATGATCTGTATTTACATAACAGAGTTGTCTAAAAAATTAAATTACATTCCAAGTTATTATTTCATTAATGCTTATAACATTTATTAAGCAGGCAAGTATTAACAAGTTCATTATACTATTTGCACTATTAACATGTCTGAAATGACAATACTTAGTCCAATGACATAGCTTAACCAGTAGGTGACTAATATCTCTTCTAGCATAGAGAAATTAGTTTTCATTGAATTTTTCACACAAACATATCATGCAATCTTAGTCATGAAAAACAAATGTTGAATTTTAGACCTTTGGAAATTACAAATTATATGTGGTTCCATACATGGTAGAAACAGACTATTCAAATTAACTTCCTTTAAAATTAATTAGAAAAAATAAAAATATATCACCAAATGAGAGAGAAAAATTTTCTGATTCAGTTATTACTCAAACTTCTAAAATTTATAGTCAGAAAGAGAAATGAAAAAAAGACTAAAACATTTGAAAGAACATTATCAGAATTATTTAATAAAAAAAGCTAATGATGAGCTTTCTATAGAAAAGTCAGATCTCAAAGGGAAAAAATAAAGTGGCTAAGTTTACCAAGAAATATTATTTAATTTTCCCATAAATAAAGACAAAATTACCCATTAAAATTTACACTAATTCTAGACTGTCAAACCTCAGAGGGAAGGTAGAAGAGGGTGGGGGTAAGGGGAAGAGATCAACCAAAGGACTTGTATGCATGCATATAAGCCTAATCAATGGACACAGACACCAGGGGGGTGAGGGCATGAGTGGGGGGGGGCGGGGGGTTAGGGGGGAAAGGGGGACATAAGCACACATATGTAATACCTTAGTCAATAAAGAAAAAATAAATAAATAGATAAAATAATGGAAAAAAATTTACACTAATTCTCTACTTCATTAAATATAGATTTAACAATCTCCTTTACCTGAGAAAAGAAAGATGAGAACAAATATATTTTCTTTCTATATTGTTTATTAGAATTTGTAGGATAAAGCATTTTTTGACATTTGCTCTTAAATGTATTTTGAGAGGACACAAAAGAAGGAATCATACCTGTTTTACTAATGACTTCCTGTAACTCAGCCATGGAAGCGATTATTGCAGCAAGAAGGTCAGAACTGGTGAGCCAGCTAAGTGCTTGCAAACAACGTAACTGCTCCTTTTGATGTTCTACAAAAATAGAAAAAATCCATCATGCAAGGCTACAAAAATTTATTAAAATCATGTTAAAAATGCATGGCAATGTTTAGCCATTTAAGAAATAGATCAAAACTGGTAGACAGAACTTTGCCTGGGGCAGAAAAGTCTATAAGAAATATTAGATTTGATTGACTTTATTTATATGTGACTGTTAACTGACAAAACAAAGAAAGAAGGAAATTTTCTTTGGTTCTACTTATATTACTTAATAGCTTGCTTTTCAAAAGTTAAAATTGAAATTATTGTTTCCTCAGAATAGTCAAACATTCCAAGTATATTAGCTGAAAATTTTATATTTGTATCCCTTTCATTGAGTTCTTCAATAGATTTTTAACTCTGATCATTTTATACTGATTCACAGAAAGTGAAAATAAATTATACTGTTAATTAATTTTAAATAGGGCAGTCTCTGGACTGACTTAACTGAAAAACTGCTATATAAACTCTTCACTGTACTGTGAAAAGAGCATTCAAATCTAATAAAACTAGGCAAAGTTGAAATTATACATACTTGCTACTTTCTTTATAATTTAATTTTTATTAAAAAAATCAAAATCTAGCTTATACATAAATATATTTCTACATATGTATGGGACTATGTTACATGAGTACACATTAAATGACTTTACGTTTCTGCATAATGGCAAAACATATTCATATCGCATGTCACTTACATTCAACTTAAATTTTAAAAAGCACAAATTATCTTACTTGGAAATTTATGCTTGTCTTTGGGCTCTCCTGTACACACCAACATGCCTATGCCGTCTTTAAAACTCTCCATCCAGGTAAAAAGAGAGGCACATGACTGGCCCAAAACCTTGAGTCTGTTTGCTGCCAAAATTGCAATAACACCTTTCCGGAATACACGTATCAATCCTTTGAATGGTTTTTTCTTCATCTTGGCTTCCTCTTGCTTCTTTTCGTCTACAGTCGACAAAGCCTGGGCTAGAGTTCTAATTTCCAATTTGAACAACTCAAAGGTGTTGACCTGATCCTGGAGAAAATCTCTCTGTGTAGACAAGGCACAGGACCGGCTGTAGAGAGGGTATAAGGCACCAGCCATCAGGGCGCAGGCTGCCAGCAAGGATGTTTGTTCCTTTTGAGTCTGTGATAACACATTTTTGATGCGTGAATTCTCAAGAACCAACTGTTCGTGTGACTTCTCAATACGGCTCAATTTGTCCGTATTTTTTTCAGCAATTTCTTGAAATTTCTATAAGAAGAAAAGTCATAATATGAAATAAACCGGTGTTTTATTAATTCCTCTTAGTAGGAAGAAAAACTTTTGCTGACAACCACTTCTTCAAAAGATCCATGTTTTAAAATATCCAACAAATACATAGTATGATAGAGCAACAGCGGGCCAAACAGCGTAGATCTGAATCTGCACATTGATTTTTTAAATCCTCTTACAAAGAAGTTTTATATAAACTAGAACACATAAATTTAAAAGTAATTCATAAATTTCCTGTACACATGAATATGTACACATATTTAGAAAAAAGAAAATTTCTCATCTTCCATTTCTCATAATTTCTCTTCCATTCCTCACTAACTTTTATTTCCTGCTTTTAAACAGAAATTACACCATCAATAGAGGTTTTCCTATATATAAGAAGACTTTGCTTTTGCCAAAATAAGCAAAGGGTTAAATCAATGATACGACAAATAGCACTTGACTGTGAGAAGGGACTCTCAGAACATAGTCTTATACTTCAGTTTCTTTCTTACCTTCCCAAGACAGAAGTCTGTACAAAGTACAGCTCCCGTACTGAGAGGAAATGCTAGTTGTAAGCTGGGCCTCAGCAGCAATCTGATCCTCTTTTCCTAATTAAAGGCACTCACATCCTAAAACTTAATTTGAAACACAAAGAAACTTTAACTGCAGACACTGTATTTTAATCACTAAAAAATAAACCAGCTCCCTATGAAATCTTATGCCTAATCATTAAGGAATTGCTGAGGCAGAATAAATTTTAGAACATAATATCCAGATTTCCTTTACAGATTCATTTATCATTCAATGAACATTTATTGATTACTCACTAAATTCCATGTGCTAGGAACACAGACAAGTAAACCAATTATTACGGTACAATGCTAAGAGAGAGCTATGCCAGATTGCCAGCGGTACACAAAAGGGAGTTTACACAAAATGACATTAACAGGCTTTTAGAGGATTATGGTAAACAACAAGTAGGAGTGAAGTTTTTTTGTTGTTTCTTTAAAAAAAAACACAAAAAAACACCTCCACCAGTAAGGAAGCTAGCCATAGCTACCCTATAATAATTTAATGTAATGTAATCCTTATAAACCTTTAACAGCTTCATTTGGACTGTTTTTAGCTAGTGCGTGAAAGCTCCAGCTGGACCCCTCAAACACAAGAAAATGCCTTTCAGCTCCCTGCACGGTCAGTGACCAGGGCACAGGGAGCCCACGATTCCATTTGGATCTTTTCTTAGGCAGGTGAGCAGCCATGACTTGACCACGGACCTCTTTCTTTTTAAAAGCAGGCCAAAGGGGTTCAATTTGAATAAGGGGGTCAACCAGAGACAGAGAAAAATCATACTCTGTCTATACATGGCAAAGTAAAGCACTATCTGCATTTTATGTGGGCATGAGGAAAATACCTCTCTTTGTATTATTTGTTCAGACTGCACTCTGTCTAAAATTTAATGTTGATCTTTGGGAGAGGTTTATAGAGAGTGTGTGTCTGATTCAATCTTTAGCCATGAACAGCTAAAAAATCAAAGGCATTTCTAAAACTTACATTGGCAGGAAGACCTCAAAATGATAAGACTTGGAGAAAATCATGCAAACTCTTGACTACTCTGCAAGATGTGTGTCAAAGCCTAGCATGGACAATGTTGATGGGCGGTAGCCAAAAGAATTCAAACATGTGGAAATATACTGCTGAGGAAGTGACTTCTGAGGCTGGAGGAGAGGTTCCCAAAGGTGTAGAGTGAGTGCAAGGACACTCAGAGGTACAGTCCTGAGTGCAAAAGAGTGAAGGAAGTATACAAGAGGCCACTCTCTGAAGGATTCCACTTCTTCGATTCTTGGTCTTGGGCAGGAAAAAAATTGTATTTTAGACCTTATTTTAAATGTTCTATATTAATCCCCTTGATTTATTCAAACTCTTATCAAAAGTCTGATCCAGCCATACCTATGAGAGATAAAGGCTTGCCCTCATCACATCACTGATGGCCAAGCTGTGGTGGCAGCATTCTATCATTGGGATTGTGCCCCAGACCTCCATACAAAGACACTTGTAAAGGAAGTGTTGTCCCACTGGAAGCAGCTGAAAAAAGCAAGAAACTCTGAGAAGCACTAGCCAGCTGAACTGCCTGGCAGCTGATGTGAGACACACTTTTTAGAGAGGCAACTTTTAAGAAAAGGAAAAACTTACACTTGAATTTGAGCGAGAGAAAACAAGACTGGCATGTAAAAAAGTCAGAGCCAGGAAACAGGATAATATGTTCTAAGGAGGTGCAAATAACTCAGTACATCTAAAGAAAAGAGAAGGATGAAAATTTAAGAAGTAGGTTGATAATAGATGATTAAGATAAGGAAATTAAACCTTATCTGAAAAGCTAAGAGAAGCTATAAAATCCTGGAACAGTCTCTATGCTTTGATAAATGGATGGGACAATCAGAAACATGAAGACTGCCATCCGTGCACCAAAAAGTTGCCGGTTCGATTCCTAGTCAGAGCATATACCTAGGTTGCATTCAGGAGGCAACCAATCCATGTTTCTCCCTCTCTCTCTCTCCCTCTCCCTTCCTTCCTCTCTCTCTAAAATCAATAAAAACATTTTTTAAAAAAAAGACAGCCAAGGGTAACTGCCAAAAGTAACTGCCAGAGTTGCAGAGAGGAGGGATGGGATTGGGGGAACAAATGGGAATTACAAAGGTTAATTCCATATTCTCTCCAAAATCAATTCCACCAGTTCAATTAGAGGATAATTCTAGAAACTCTGAGGTAAAAGAGCCACACTATTCATAGCTACAGAGTAAAAATAAAACTGAACCTAGTCATGTTCCCGGTGGCTGCCTATTTACATATTCACAGATCTCAAAGTATCAGGCAGAAGTGTTTTTTCAACAAAAATTACTTTGTTGAATAAAAAATGGTGAAAAGACATATTTCCTCATGATATTTTAAATATTTCAAAATAATATCAACATCATTGGTCAAAATTAAATGGATTGTTGAAGGACAGTAAGCCCACTGTGGAAAGATTAACCAGTTTTAGTGCATGATGGATCACAACTCCTCTACCATGTACTTCCACTTCTACAAAACATCAGGTTAAAGCTAAAAGCATTTTAGAGAGACATCCAGAAATTGGTGGTTCTAGGATGAAAGGGTTAATTAAAAAATGAATAAAAATTACTGGCCAGTTTGGTTCAGTGGTTGAGTTTTGACCTATGAACCAGAAGGTCAGGTCATGGTTCGATTCCCCATTGGGGCACATGCCCAGGTTGCAAGCCCACGTGGGGGGCATGCTGGAGCTGGTGGATCATTGATGTTTCTATCACTTTATCTCTCTCCCTCCCTGAAATCAATAAAAATATATTTTAAAAAATAAACAAATAAATAAACTATATTACCTAAAATACCCCACTTCTCTCTTTATAGAGCAAAACAGGAACCCACTGGAATTCTTTAAAAATAGAACTGAGATTCCTGACTTACACAGCCAGTTTTCATTTTAGGTCACCTTGTAGAAGTAGTGGCAATGTAATAAAGCAATTGTTAAAGATCTTTATGCCAAATTTTGATCTTTTTAGTGATTATATATCAAAAAGTACTGATTAATATTAATTACTACCGCTATGGATGACTTCATGAGACTCATATAATTTCTATTGTAAGAAAGAGATGCCATTCACAATTGCTAAAAGAATAAAAATAAGACAAAGAATACATGTGAAGCCTGTTTATAAATAAAAATAAACAATCTGTTGTTTATTTAACAACCATCTGTTGTCTTAAATCATTGTTGGTTTAAATAATTATAATCAAGATACCAAGTATCAATGGTTATTTAAAAAATCAAACAGGTCAATATAAATTAGATAACTAGGATTAACGAAGTGGGATATTAGAATTCAAGATTTAAAAATAATAAAATTAAATTTTTAAGCTCTATTGACAAATATTATGAGAGTTTTGTTAATTTCTTAACAATTACATTTCTGCATCCCTGCCATCTCCACTGCAATCCAGAACCACCACTCTGACTGTCCAGCAGCCATCTCCAGTTAGAGAATGCACAACCACAGCAAGCTAAGTATCCAATCCAGTTCTGTTGATTTTCCCCTTAAAAGTGTTCACAGTAGTCCTCTTTATCTCATTAAATGGCACCAACACCCACCAAATTATTCGAGTCCAAGACTTTATAGTCAGTCTTAATTCTGCTTCCTTTCTTCACCCTATTCTCTACATGCCCAAATCAAAGCATTGGCCAGCACAATGCACATCCTGATCCACCCCCTGCTCCCCCCTGCGGTTCCAGCTCTCCCCACCGCCAGCCATTCATGCCCATTTCAACGCTGTCAAATTCTGTCAATCCAATCCTATTGCTTAAACTCTAGACCAAGGTCCTCTACTCAGGTCACAACACCCCACATGCCTTCCTTCTGTAAATGCACCTTCTCCCACAATCCTCAACTTGGAAAAGGAGAGAACAAATCTGCTCCTTTACTTCCCAGCCACAAGCCTCCCACCACTCTCCACAATTTAACCACATTCTCTAGCACCCCCAGGTCATTTTCCTTCCCACTCCCCTAACGTTACTCAAAATCTAACACTTTTCAGAGACCATTTCAGGGTCTACCTATTCCATGACACCTTTGACTATCATCTCACTCATACACTGACCTTGACCAGCTATGAACTTACCTACTCAAGATTTAATTCCTACATTGCTGCTTACTTACTAGTATACCATGTGTATTTATCAACTCTCCCTCAAATACAATAGTGTGAGTTCCTAGAGGCCAGGAATTATTTACTGCAGTGCTCTATATAGACTATATAGGCATTTAATAAATATTGAACAAACTAAAATTTCTTTTATAAAATGTTCCCTGGTGCTAAGTACAGTATTTTGCCCATAAAAGTCACTGAATAAATACCCAATGAATAAAAATCTTTACAAATGTAAAAAGAAAAAGAAAAAGAGATATAGTTTTAAAATATAATTT